TGCAACGTCTAGGCCTAAACACGACTTGGCCGCGCACCTAGAGACAAAAATGTTTGATAAGGAGTATTTTCATCAACTTGCTCCCCACGAACTTCAGGCTGATCGGATATTGAATTGGCGGACTTTTAAATTGCTTTTCATCTTCGGCACCGGACTAATTTCAGTTGTTTCCGAATATCCTGGCACTATTGTGTACTGCCAAGGCAGGTGATATAACCTTCAAAGAACGTTAAGCTGGTAAAGAGAGAGGCGGATTTTATCGCTCTGTTGGGACATAAAGCCACGTATATATGATCGTGGTAGAAGTCAGTTGCGGGCTATTTTTACGAATGCTCTGATTAGATATCATCTTGACTGGCAGTCTCCCCTGTCATTTTCCCTCCTGCCACTTTTACGTAATAACCCATTTTTATTGGACTTACTAATCCACGTAAGCCACTTTGTGTTTCTAAATTTGACTTTATTGTCTTTAAGATCTTCAGGTCCTATTCTTGTGGGAAGGAAAAGAAGCAAGGCATCAAGCGTCCGAAGCGTATGGGCACGGGAGTCGTCACAAGCACCCCCAGCGAGGTCGTATGTGAGTCAACATCAGCGATATGATTGGTCAGGCCAGATTGGCGTCGACCTATGAGTGCGCACGTGCTCCATTCATGAGAGGCGAAAGTTTGAGTGTCCCACGCGGACTTGGGCCACTGCATATCTTAAAATTTAAGTCAGAGGTTTTCGAGATTGATCTACGGATTTTTGGACAAAAATAGTCAGAAAAGAAAAGGAGGGTGGTTTCATATGGAATAATACTTGCGATCCTCCAGTAAGTTTTGGTTGTCTGAAGGTAGTTGGTTCTGCCCAATACGACGGTGGAACGCCCCTTGTCGGCTGTTCGATGTGAAACCAACCCATCAAAAATCCGACACGCGTTGGTAATAGAGAACTCGGGGGCAATAACGTCATCCGTCCTCCCCAAGGTGCACAAAGAGGGTGCTCCTCTCCGATCCATCGTATAACTGAAAGGCACTCCAACGTACGGGCTGGTAAAGTGGCTGTTTCGGCGTCTCAATTTTCTGACCGCTGATTCGGAGACCACGGTCTGTTCATTAACACGACCTTGGA